CTTTTTTCTTTTTAGAATTACACATTACAACGTAGACACCTACAATACACAAGCACATTCACCCCTATGAATACACGTGCGGCTGGAAATAATTTTTCCACTCTAGAGCCTGTGTTATTTCTTTTTTCTTTTTAGAATTACACATTACAGTGTAGACACCCACAATACGCAAGCGCACTCACCCCTATGAACACACATACACATACCCTAACCCTATGAGCACATCTGAAGGACTGAGGCGGCAGATCTCGAGATTCACGAAGTCACCACAGGTCACCTACCACTGAAAGCATAGCGTTGTTAAAACCTGAAATAAATTCAGAAAAATATAGTACCCGTGCCAAATCGAGGACTTGAACTTGGATGGGTAGGTTCCAGCGACAAGGAACCCAACTAATTGGTTCGTGTTATTTCTCCTTTTACCTTCACCTTGTTATTAGTATATATTATCTCTCCCAGAATTCAAAGGTTCGGATTTATCTGACATCGAGTAATTAGAGTATTTTAGCATAGCCCAACATCATTTAGACACATGCTAGCTGCTATGATACAATTTTTACTACCCGCACATAAATATTTCGATCTACAAATAAAAATGTAAACGTGTTAGCACTAATAATTTAGTTAGCGAGAGACATAAAACCCAACTGCCACAGCTCCAAATATATAAAATCCAGGCTGCCACAAATAATGAAGACGACAAGTACACTGCTACATCGTCCAAGCTGACCTCCAAAAGCCCTTGCAGTATCCAGGAAGCTCCCTCAGCTCCCCCGCACTAAAGCAAACCAACATCTCTGATGACTGATATCCTTGTGCCGGTGGATAATGCACCAGCACAATCTTCCCCTCTGATGTTTTTGTATCCAATAAATAAAAAAATAAACATATATGTGAACAAAAAGAAATCCTGGAAAAGGACACGTATTAGGCTCCAGCTGTCTCCACCCAGGTCGAACACCACCTCGCTTGTCCTCCTCCTCCCCATGCATGCACCCATGCCATCTTCACTTCCTTCACACCTCACTCAGCTCCCCCTCTCCTCGTCTCCCTCCCAATATATACATGCACGCATGCACCTCCCACTCCCAGCACGAACAAACCTTTCATCTCACTGCAACATCGCATCGATCCATAGTCTACATTTATTTGTCAACACAGAGCTCAAGCTAGCTTGCTTGCGCGTTGCCGCTAGTTTGGTCACTGTAACTTCATCAGCTCATCCCTAAAATGGAGGTGGTGCTCGATAACGCTGCCGGCTTCGCGGCCGGGGAGGTGGCCGGAGGACAGTACCGTGGCGTGAGGAAGAGGAAGTGGGGGAAGTGGGTGTCGGAGATCAGAGAGCCCGGCAAGAAGACGCGCATCTGGCTGGGCAGTTTCGAGTCCCCGGAGATGGCCGCGGTGGCGCACGACGTGGCCGTGCTGCGCCTGCGCGGCCGCGAGGCGCGGCTCAACTTCCCGGAGCTCGTCCACCGCTTCCGCCGCCCGGCCACGGCCGAACCCGACGACGTCCGCGCCGCCGCGCTCGAGGCCGCGGCCCAGGTCCGGTTCAGGCCCGACCTCGTCGTAATGCAGATGCAGGCCGGCGCCGGCGAGGCCGGCTGCTGCTACGGCGGCGGCGGCGGCAGTGACACCGGCAGCAGCCCGGAGCCGCAGCTGGCCGGCGACGACGACGTGGCGTGGGACGCCTTGCTTGGACTTGGAGCCGACGACGAGCTGGCGGCAGATCAGTCGCCCAAGATGTGGGCTGAGCTGGCCGAGGCCATGCTCATGGCCCCACCTGTATGGGAGGACAGTATGGCGGACAATGACGAGTGGGCCCAGGGCAATCTCTGGGACCTACCTGTCTGGAACTGCTAATCCCGGGGCCCAGGCCCCACTGGAAGATGCACCTTCACATCCTTTGGTTTTTAGAGGTGTGAAATACTGCTAGAATCCATCGATTAATGAATCTTCTTCCCAGAACCACCATATAGGTGATAGGTCAATGAGGTACTCTAGAGAGCATAAACATGGTTAAGAATGTTCTGAGGATGATCCTTTAGTTTTCTTTGTTTCTGAAGATCTATGGTCCTGTCAGTGTGCAATTTCTTGGTATAGTTAGCAAAGAAGGTCTAGCTAGCTAGCACGTGCAATTCACGTGGGTTAAAATACAACAAGCATGATGTAATTCTTTCTGTTTCCTCTCATGGATGACAAGTTGAAATGCAATTGCAAAAGAATATATATGTTTACATTGAGAGTCCCTCTGGTTGCAGTGGCATGGACACCACCACCTTCAAAACCATTTCCGTATTATTAGATGTCAATCCATTTATTCATCCATAAAAGAAAACTGTTGATGGAAATGGTTTTGCGACAAACTACAATATCATAAATATGGACATGACTGAATCAAATAATGGGCCTGAAGATCTCAAGACACCGGATACTCAATTACCAGATGGTTATAAAACACCGAAAAATGCATTACGCGTCTTGTGTGGATGTATATATAAATCTGCTTAGAGTATGCTAAAACAAAAGGATAGAGTAGTCTTGTGTGGATACTATAGATATAGTACTACGGAGTACCAAACAAAACAAGGAGTAGAAAAAAAAAAGAAAACAATTGGATTGCAGGAACATGAGCCTGAAGTTTCCTGATGATCTCTATCTGACGACAGTGTCAGATATCATGGGACCAAGCCCGTACGCTTTATTCGTCTGCTTCGTACACGCACCTGCGCCGTGACCAAATTTTTTATTTTATAGCCCTTGTTTTCCAAAAGATATTCACATTTAGACCTTTCTGAATGTTTCTTTTCATTTTCTGGACCTGATCTCGGCGCCAGGGTTACATGTCTCGACGCCATAGTTATTGGCGCTGAGGTCAAGGTTATTTTCTGCGTGGCGTTGATGCGGCTGCTTGCGTGGCGTGGACGTGGCACCGGTTCGGCGCCATGGGTGTTGGCGTTGAGCTCGGCGCCACTTCGCCTGACGCCAACCTGACTTGCAGGCGTAGCCCCTGGCAATATGCAGGATATAGGAGGATGATGGACATACTTGTGAGCCTATCTATTCAAAGCTAGAAGAGAGAGAGAGAGAGCACGGTTGCCCTATCTATTCAAAGCTAGAGACGCCTAGAGAGAGAGAGAGGATAGGAGTCTTGTGCTTGCATGAGCCTCTAGTCCACGATATCGATGAGAGCTTATTCACACGCCTGCAGTTGGTTTCTCGAGGATAGGAGTCTGGTGTTGCTTGTTGTGAGAGAGCCTCTCGCAAGCGATATCGATGAGAGCTTATTGTTGTGCACAATGGACCACGCAGGCACTATAGCACCCGCCCTGCCCGCCTGTGAACATGAGCAGAGTTGAGCAGCTTGATTAAAGTTTCTAATGAATATACGGCCATTGTATCTATTAAGTTAAATGGTTCATATTTAACTAAGTTTCTAATGGATCGTATTTAAATTTATGACTTAGAATCAATTTATTATGAAAATATATTTCATAATAAATCTAACGATATTTATTCGAATACACCATGGACAACTATATAAATTTCGAGCCAAAAGTCGTGTAAGTGACCATTCAATAAACTGTGTGTCCCATTGCAAAGTACGGACATTTTTTATAATAAAATACTAAAACATGATACTGTACTAGAATTACGTTCTTTCTAAGATGGAGTAAGTATTTAAGTTAAACCATTTGATAGATCATTGAACCTATTTTTATGAGAAACTTATTTGGAGATATAAATGTTATTAATATTTTTCTTTAAACCTACTCAAACCCCTTTTTCCAAGTTTTGCTTTCATATATTTTTATATATAAATTTGATTTAACTTAACAAATTTTAATATAACACTACTCTAAATTATGCATGTGCATTGCTGTTGGTAGAAACTACGAGGTAGTAGAAAGATTAAAGTAAGCGGTAGAAAGGTTGAAGCATGACATGCATACTACACACCACCGTGCATAACAGGAAGGGTGAAAAATATTTCCTTGATATACGTGCACGAGACAAAATTTCCACACGCTTACTACGGATGAATGCATGTTTGTTTTTTCGATGTTCGTGCTAGACTCCTCTGCCCTCTCTCCCTCCAGTTGCCAGATGGCTACACCTGCAAATCAGGTTGACGCCAGTCAAAATGGCGCCAAGCTCGATGCTAACCTCCACGGCGCTGAGCCGACGTCAAGTCCAGGTTCAGCTCACGGAATGTAAAAAAAATCGGACGCCGTGACTAGAATGAAAAAAAAGGGTGGACCTGGTCAACCCAAGCGTCCAGGTTCAGCTCACGTAATCAGGCTTGGAGATTGCCATGTCTCCCGGCCTCGGGAATTATTGTACTGGCTGGAGGAGCAAAACCTCTTTAATCTGATGCCAACTATATGTGGTATATAATAATGCATGCATCTGGTCATTACTGTTGTACTCATCATGGGGGACTGAAAGTGAGCTAATCCGATCGTGCTCCACTATTTAATGGTGGTCATGTCCAATGTGTCTGAGAGATTTAGCGTTGCTAAAATATATACAGGATGTGCAGGGATGCAGAGAACAACACCACCAAGGCAATGAACTGGGGACTCTAGAGGGGCGTTTGTTTGACTGGCCCATCCGGGCTAGTGAGCCCAGCGCGTGCAACTCGGGCTGTTTGTTTACGTGGACCAGCCCACGAGCCAGGCCAGCACGCCCCTCAAGCACCCCTGGGCCTGGCTCTGGGGAAACGAAAAAATTTCTCGTTCCTGGCGGGCTCGGCCCAAGCAGGCGCATCCTGGGCCAGGGGTGAAGTTCCCGTCACCTCTCTTTTCTTTACCGTGAAAGTGAATCCTAACCGCCGCTGCCGCCGCCGCCAACCCCATCGTCGACGCCATCGGAGGAGTGGAGAGGTGCGCGCGCGAGCGAATCCAACCTCGACTTCCCCTCCCTCTCCGACAGCTCCCCGGCCACCTCCGCTCTCCCTTCCCAGTCAACAGCTGCGGCACGGAGCACGACGCCGACACGCCATGGCGGCGGTGAGGCACCGGCAACTGGAGGCCGGCCCCGTGGACGCCTCCGCGCCGGCGGTTCTGTTCGTGCACGACTTCCCGGAGCTCTGGTACTCGTGGCACCACCAGATGGGCTACCTCGCCGTGCGCGGCTACCGCTGCGTCGCGCCCGACCTACGGGGCTACGGCGGCACCACCGCGCCGCCGGAGCCGTCGTCCTACACCGTCTTCCACATAGTCGGCGACCTCGTCGCGCTCGTCGACACCCTCCACCTACCGCAGGTACCCGCGCGTGGCTCCGTGCCTCCGTTCCCCGTCGAATCGAATTCCCCAACAAAGCTACGTATGCAACCTGTTTGTGGAAATGTCTCACAGGAATGGCGGTAGGAGCAGGGAAGAAGAAATGGGCAAGTCTACCATGAGCTGATGCAAGGTGGCCAAATTTGAATGTCCCACCCACAGCCTGGCTTAGTTCTATGGGCAATCAAACAGGAGTAGTTGCACCAGATGAACATGTCCCAATCCAGCCTGCCTCTGGCCAGCCACATGAGCCACCTTTGTCCAGGCAATCAAACACGCCCTAGGTGTGGTTGATTCTTCTTGGTACTGCTTTTCAGTGGTAATGAGAATAGAGTATACTATGTTGTTCTTGTCATGTTTGTAGGAAGGAAACATGGACGAACCCGTTTGGTAGGGTTTCTCCACCGATTTCAGGAGCTATTTTCTGCCAAACGAGATAAAAAAAACGGCTTCATTGCTGAAACTCCTTAAAATATGCTTTCACAAAGGTTTGGAGTGCGATGGAGCAAAAAAAATAATGGCTTCACCCGGCTTCACCTCGTTCACGTGGAACCCAGCGAGGACCAAGCCCATTCTACCCCTGTCGAGAAAAGAAGCGCGTGCGAGAAGAGAGTTCACGTGGGACGCCGGCGCATGGCCGTTGGAGCACGCGGCCGCCAGGGCACGCGGGCTGCCGAGGCACGCGGCCGCTGGGGGTTTGTCCCCCGGGGCACGTGGCCATGCCTACGGATGAGAAGGGTTGCGGACGCTGGATGCGTGGGGTCACGGGTCGTGGCCGCCAGGGTGCACGGAGCCATTTAGATGTTAATTTTGAAGCTAAGTACTACGTCTACTTTCTATGTAGGATAAATGAAATTTTTTTTTTATGAATAAAGTTACTTAAAATAGTGCCTCGTATCTGATATATATAACAAAATGATGACTTGTACAAACAAAGGATGAACACTTTAACACAAAACAACCTTAAAAAATAAAAGTACATCAAACACCAATCTAATTGTTTTCCTCTTTCGGTCACCCTACGCATGCCTAGATACATCAACTTAGGTGGCCACCTATGTGGCTTACATGGTCGGAGAGGTTAGGCAACTAAGTATTTTCCCATGCTCAATAGTGTGTTGAGGTAGCATATTATAAGAGAGAATAAGGTTTAAATCTACTTCGTATGATTTTTCTTATCAAATACGCTTATCATTTTCAGATGCACAGGTATCATGCATCATTGTTTGTAATGACTAGTGACCTCCTCCGGATCCGACCCCCTTGTCCATCTCGATCCATGGTGTCCCATTATCTTTTATTTCCCTTCTGGCTTCTATCATGTGCCTTTTGATGTTCTCTCAAATAAATATTGTGAAAAGTACTCATTTTGGCGTGATTAGTTAATTATTGGTAGCAGATACTCTTTTTTTCTGGCACTTACTGCTAGCGGATTAATCAAACATAGGGGCACTGGACAGCATTTATCTGCTCCAGCTTTTGCTGATCAAGGTTGAATCCACCAAAATTTATTTGCATGGGCAATAGTAAAGGCCACGCAGACATGTCACCAAGAAAGAAACATAGGAGCTTGACTGTTAAAGTGAAATAGCTGGGTCTTTAATACATATAATATACACGGAGCAGTACGAGAATATCACTAATTACTTAAGGTTACATTTTTTTTTGAAGGGTCAGCAGCGGAGGCCCCTACTTGCTATTTTTTTATATATATGTGAAAAAAGAACAACACTGTATAATCTGTACAAAATACAAGTTGCAAAGCCCAAAAGGAAAAAGAGGACAATGACATTAGGAAAAGCTCTCTCCACGAATTCAGAGTCTTCACTCTTTGCTTGGCAGTGCAAACCAACCCAAGTTCCACCTTGAAGGCTAACTCGTTCCAGCTTGTAAGATTGCAACTTTTATTGTCGAAGATGACCCTATTACTGGTTGTCCATATGATCCAGCAGGCTGCTATGACAATTTCAAGGCACTGTTGCTAGGCTGTGAAGTTCATCGCCCCTCCTTCGGTCAGCCACTATTGTTGCTCACCACTAGGGAAGCATGATTGGAGCGTTTGGCCAAACAAGCCTCTCTGCTCACTTGTGTGAAAGAGGTAAATAGTACAAGCTAAATAATTTAGTGTGTTTGTGCTTGTTCATGCAATCTGTGAATAATAGTCTTGAATCCCTAAATTCTAAAATTGATTGTAGGTTTTCTATCTAAACTATTCCAAACAAAAAATACCCTACATTAGGTAGTGTGATTTAAATTAATTACAATCGAAATGATTACACAGCTAGATATGATGATCCAACAATGGGGAATCGATCTTTTTCTGCTGGACATTTGGGATGCTTCACATGTTTGGACCAAGTGCCACATTCAAGGTGTCTGATCGATGCCTTAAGAGGAATATATATATATATTGCGCCAACATGAACCTCAAGAATTCAGAGTAACATTTACATAACGGAGGAAATAACCTCCCAGTTTTCTGTTATGGAGAAACCTTCCGCACCACCAAAATCAGAGACCTATCTATCTATCTATCTATCTATATATATATATATATATATATATAGAGAGAGAGAGAGAGAGAGAGAGAGAATGCCTCCCAGTATATGTAAACTGAGGCGTTTTATAGAATGTCTGGCAGTAACCTCAGCAACTATAAATTATTATCTGAACTAACACCTACTATATATTACTTCCAAAAGAGAACTTTTATGAAAAGCAGACACACTGATTTGCCTATCTCCAAGAGTTTGCTATCTCAACTTGACATCCATATAATTTTGGCAAAACAAGAAAAAATAGCCTCCAACAGTTTAGCAAAACAACTTGGCATCAATAGCAACTTGGCAAATCTTCCCTCCACGCGCGCAAATATACGCGCGCGTATACGGCTTGGCATCCGGGGCTCTTCGTTTCTTAGCGGGGCTCTTCGTTCGCTTAGTGGGGCTCTTCGTTCGCTTAGCGGGCCTCTTCGTTTTGTTAACGGGTTTTTTTATTTTACCAAGTCAAAAATACCAAACTCTTGGAGATGGATTGTTTTTTTACTTGGTATATAATTTTGGGAGTTGGCAAATCACAAGATTTGCCAAGTAAAATTTGACAAACTCTTGGAGATGCTCTTACTTTCTCCTCTTGACGGCTTGAAAACATTAGCTCAAGATGCAACACATTCTCTTGCTTCTTCATTCAGAAGTGCTACCAAGAGGCCTGGGTACCTGTATAAATGAAATGAAAATAGCATCTGGCTCAGTAGTCCTTCGATGATCAAAACAGAAAATACGTCTAGACTGTTTCGAAACACAAAACACTCGCGACCACTTGCCGAAATGTATTTAGTCCCAAACTAATCACCTATCAGATCATCAGCTACTTCATCACAAGCACCAAAGTCACAGAAATAAGGATCACTATCGTTTCCTCATGTTTTCATGTTATCTTCTGTCAAAATCATCTCAGGCATAGAAGTCAAAAATGAAAACTTTACCCCTTACTATCTGCACAGAACTCACAGTAACTTGAGCAAGGTGCAACTTGACACTCTCAGAAAGGTATTATTGCTTCAAAATATAGAGATAAGACACCAGCTACACAGAAAAGCTGAAGAATTATGTAAATATTAGCAGCCTAAGCACTCCCAGCAAGAATAAAAGCATTATGTTCCCGATTGTAGGAAATTTCTACTATCTTATCAGGAACAGTGCAGCCCTCCGACCGCACCAGGAATAGCGTCACCCTCTGCTACCTCCGCATCCCGCCGCCGCCCGTGGCCCAACGACCACAATCACAACTCCATTGATAGCGCATTCTGCCATGGCCCTTTGACCACAATCACAACCACATCAAGCCACCAGCCCTGGGGTTCATCAAGGTTCTCTTGCGTCAGTGGCAGTCATATGCATTCTACTCTGAATTCTGTTGAGCTTCTTTCAAACAGAAGGCAGGAGATTGGTAATTAAATCAATCATATAGTAAAATCAATGGTAATACTATCTTATTTAGTCAAAGCATGCATGCATAATGATTTGCATGCGTAGACAAATTGCTCTCTTGTTAGGTTAGGTGAGCTGGTAGATGAAAATGATGATTCTAGGCAAACCTTTTGCATCTATAGTTTCATATGGATTCATAAGTGCCAGTTCCAAGGCCATAACATTTTTACAATCTCACTGAAGATTCATGTAGTTCTATCTGCCAATGTAATTAGCACAATACAATGCACTCAGTTTGTTTACCTTCAGTCTAATGAACTTGGTCAATGAACATTTCAACTTGGTCAATGATCTTCGGTTTTCCTTGTTGGTTGCATTTCAGTTCGGATGCTTGGGTTTCAGTTTCACTTAGGGCAGCTCCAATGGTAACTTATGAGCTAGCTCTAAGTGTATATATTTTCAGTTGGGAGAATTTATTGTTGACTTTTGACAATCAAAGGTCTCGATTTTAGGATTTTCCACTACAAACCAGTTTATACTCTGGATATGCCACTTTGATCTACTCTCATTGTTCTTTTCTTATTTAAAATGGACTCCGCGCCTGAACTGAAGACTGAGATTCCAGGACCAAACTGGCAGAAGCAGAACCTGACTGCAGCTTGGTCTGGCTACTGACCCTTACCATCTCAATGACATAATAGAGCACACATAGAGCATAAGATCAACTGGCCAGTATATCTACACCGTGTTTATTTCAGTTCTAAAATAGTGAAATTAGAATACGCCCAGAGTACAAACATGTTTGGAGTTGCAGCGCTTGATCTCATACTTTCATCCTAAAGAAATGGCACAAGACTCAAGGTTCTTGCTGCTGCACCCGTACTAACTCTTAGGATCATATAGTGAAATATGCAGTAGCTTGCTGCTGCTGCACACTACACTTGAGAGAGGAAAATGGAGGCTGATTCAGGCTGCTATATGCTGCAGCTAGCTGGTGCCTTTTGGTGTAGCAGGAAAGGGTTACAGAACACAGCCCTAGTGGGTACAGAACAAAGACCTTGACTTGCAGCCTAAGACATACTACTTGCTCCTGAAGAAAACTTGCTGTCCAAGGGAGAAAGGGTCAGCTGATCAGACCTATTCTAATTCTATTATAGCTAGGAAAAAACATCGGCACAAGGTTTATATTCTAAGAATAACTGTATAAGAGTACTCATCCAATCTATTTTTTTTGGCTTCTTTAAGTGTGTCAGTTCCAATATCTGAACCTATTGTGAACAGTGTACCATTGGTTGTTATGATAAGAGATTAGTCATTGAGTTTTGATGACCAAACCTCATGGTTAACAAGGCAGTAAGAGGCGTGACGACTCAATACTGCCTTACCACTTGGCAAGTGAGGCATGAGGTGAGGTGACACCATATCAAGGTAACGAAATGCAAGACATCAGTGTGAAGGAGGAAGAATAGGGAAAAAAAGAGAAAAGGAAGAAGCAAGCAGTAGGCTGACCAGCCTGCCAGGCAGCCCATGTGCCCCTCCCCTGCCTATACATCTAGATCCAGAAGCATCCATCGCCGCTGCTGTTTCGCTCTCTTTTCTAGTGTCTCGTGTATCTCGCTTTCATTCTCCAGAGCCGTCGTTATGCGCCGCTGCCGCTCGCAACATCTCTGCTTCACTTCCCTCACTATCCTGCACCCCTCAGACCAACTTCCACCACCACCCCCTTCCAGATGGAGCGATAGGCAAGCAGGGATGGAAGAAATCAAGCGTCTGTGGAACATGAAAGTCAAATAATCTATCTTTGAAGTTTATTTAAGAACTACTTTGAGAGCACTCTCAAACTTCACACACAAATAACAAAGTCAACATTTCAACAACAACAACAACAACAACAACAACAACAACAACAACAACAACAAAGTCAACATTTCATTACAAAGAATTATTTTGTCAAATGAATTTCTAGGGTTGAGTTTCGGAATCGATACATAGGGCTATGGTTTGGATTTTTATTAACTTTTTTTATTCTTTAGATTCTAAAGCCACTATATTTCCCACAACATGTGTCATCATTCATTAATATTGAAAAGATAAAACAATAATATATAGACAATGTTTTAATTTCTAGAAAAATATGTTTTCACCTCATTCACATGCATATGAACTCATGCTAGGAATCCTGAGTATGTTCATCCTGATGAAGATCCGAATCCAGAGGCTGCTCAAGATTTTGACGACGCCTACAATTAACAAACACGGCATTAATTGGCAATGAAAAAATAGAGGTGGTTCAGCCAGAACTGTTGTTGTGAGAAGTGTAATACCTTGTGCAGTTATACTCATGTATACAACTAATTAAGTATCCAGCCATACACATTGTTGGGACAAGTGTAATACACATGCCAGCAAGAACACTATGCTGGACTCCAATAAAAAGCGCAAACATGAAAACGATGAAACAGCATAGCCACACAAGGATGGACGAATCCTCATCGTGCGGATAATTCAGCCAGAACTGTGTAATGTGCATGGACCAGTAGTGCATATATATGCATAATATCCCTGCAATCACTGATACCATAGCAGCTGGATAATCGTGTTCGTTGTAAATCACAACAGCTGCAAAGGAAAACAAGACAATTGACCGGTACCACATCATGATATCAGCCACCAACCCAAGCTCCTCTGTGATCAAAACGTACATTTGAATCATGAATTAGTTAACATATCTTTATGTGAGATTAGAGATTAGTGAAATGCAAACTTACGGGAGGTGAGCGAAGCTGGGTGAGGATCAACAGAAGAGGACGAGATTGTGAGAGGCTGTTGAATCTCGTCACTGGCCAAGGATGAGCTGGTTAGAGGCGGTGGACTCTGGTCACCGGCCGAGGACGAGGATGTGAGCTGCTGAATCTCATCAATGGTGGCCAAGGACGAGGATGTGTGTGGCCGCCAAGAAATCCCATTACAGTCGCCTTGACCATCATCACCGGCCAACAAGGAAGACGTGAGTGCTGACGAAGTAATCCCATCGCGGTCTCGGCCGAGACGAAGCAGATATGTGAGGCGCTTCGAGAATGGTGGAGATCGACGTATAGGAGGAATCGGAGCAATCCGGCGGTAGTTGGGCGGGCGGGCGGCGGTGGAAGCCGGCGCCGGCGGTACAGTGTCGATGAGGAGGCCGGAAGAGCAAGCCGGCGGTACAGGGTCGATGAGGAGGCCGGGGGAGGAACCCGGCGGTGTAGGGGATTGCTTAAGGCGGCGGGTGGAAGAGGACGACGGAGGTACTTGATCCATAAGGCACCAGGAGGAGGGAAGCGGTCGTGGATGGGTTTGGCGGAGGCGGCCGCCGGCGGCGACGTGACGGTTTGGGGGCGTCTCCTGCTCCTGCTCGGCAGACGCCATCTCTCGACTTGGGCACTTGTTGGGCCGTAGCCGTGGGCCTTCACATCTGTACTTTATTCTACGGCCTATTCTAGACAATAATCCAAAAAAAAAGAATAAAAGATGCCGTCCTAGTTGTTGTTTAAATACAGATAGATTTATTTAAATAGAGAAAAAATAACACCTTGTTAAAAAATACTCCCTCCATAGTGGTACATGGTCTCCAAAGCATAACTTTGACTTCTTATCTTTTTATAAAAATATTTATTAGAAACTGATATATTTTTATGAAAGTAATTTTCAAGATAAATGTATTCGTATAGTTTTCACATTTTCAAACTCAACAACTTAAAAGTTATTCATGATTTACATTCCCAATATTTAACCCAAGATGTCCATCCTGGCCGCCCGGCACGGCACGACATGGGCTCGTGCCAAGGACGACCCTCAATGACAGGGCCAGGAACGACACGTTTGTGCCCCACTGCCATGCCTCTAAGGGCCACAGGCCTTACCAGCAGCCCAGGCACGGCACTACGTGCCCTTTTCGGGCCGGGCTGACAAAAGAAGCATAGCTAGATTTGCATGTTGTGTCGACCCGTAGCCCGGTAACATTGAGGCACCTCAAAATTTTCTCTCATCCACCTCATAACAAAAAACACAAAGATAGTCCCATGCTAAATCTTCTCACAAAGAGGGCCATCTCTTCGTCATCGTCATCATCACCCCCACGTGCCTTTTCATCATCATTGTGTAGGTAACAAGGATAGTCCCATGTTATACTCGCCTTCAAGTGTTCCTGCTGATCCTACTCGTCAAAATATTGGCCTTGCTCAACATCGTACTGCTCACCGTCTATACTCGATCATCAATACAGCAACACACAAGCATCCACCTAATCATGCACGAAGAAAACAAGAACAATTAATTAGAACAATACACCAACAGAGGAAAAATGTTGAATAGTTTGTAAAATTATTCTACATGTCGCTACGATCACATAGATGTGAATTGCACTCAAATCAGATTTAAAATGTAGGAGATATGATGAATATAAGCTCTGGATGGCAGAATCGTAAATAAAGTGAACTATATATGAATTAAAATAAATAAAAACTAAACTTTAATACTGCTGAGGACTATGGGTTTGATTTCAAAGAAATGGAGGGGCTCTTTAGCAAGGTGGCCGACGAAGAGGTATCTTCTAATCTGGGCCATTGATCACTGATTGAACGGCTAGAGCGGTTTGGGGATGGTCCTGCCGGCCGGAAACTGGAGGACGGCGTGGCGGTTCCATGGCCGGCGGCGAGCTTCTCGCTAGCGAACATGAAAAAGGGCATACGGGCCACGACAGAGCAAAACAAGGGCACGGGGAGAAAGACTGGGTGATGGAGAAGTCACCTAGGGGCTTTTCATGTCGGAGACAAGACGAGGATGGCGAGCGGCTCTGAGAGGCGACGACGGTTCCTGCGAAAGTTCGGCTTCGGCATGCGAGCAAAAAGGAGTGAGAAAAGGACAAAAGGAAGGCATCCCCAGCTTCGTCACCTCGCTACGAAGCTCAACTGCGGGTCTAATTCAACAAAGAGGCTACGGAGTGGCGAAATGAGCTCGACGAGCGGAGCTAGGGTTGCGGTGATGCTGCTAGCTCGATGTGGGGGCGGCGAGTCATCTAGGGCTGGTAAAACAGGGCACAGAGGGGGTGGTGGCTTATATAGAGCATAGGCTAAGGGAGCACGTCAAATCGTGCAAAATCGACAACGGATCGGTGGGATTTCATCCCTATCGAGTCCAGCTCGGTCACGGCTCAAGGTAAGGGACGACGCTACCACGTGGGACCAGCTCACCAGTGAGAGCAAGGGCAGGTCCCGACGGTTAGCTAAGGTAGCGTTTGGTTGGGAGGCAAGGTAGAATGGGATGGTCCTATCTCTGATTTTTGGGATGGGACGGGGATAGAACGAACCTATTTTCTCTTTGGTTAAGGAGGGACTGGACCGACCTATTTTCTGTTTGGTTGGAGGGACAAAGAGAAATGGTATGGATGACGTATTTGACACCATTAAACAATGTTTGTATTGCAACCCACATGTCAATCTCTAAACCTTCTCTTTTATATTATATTACATGGTAAAAATATATTGAAAAAAGCTTCTCACATCCCCATTGCGACCGTCGCGAGCTGCCCATCACTGTCGTAGGCTGCGCATGGCCTCACCACCGTGCCCCCACGCTGGCCAGCGTGAGCTCACTGCCACATATGGATCCGGTCGCCGGAGCTTTGTCTGCAGCGCGTCTGCCTCTACGCGTCGGCCTGCCACCGTGCGTCTTCCTTCGTGCGCCCCATCCATTGCCGACCCTACTCCGTCCACCGCTGCTCTGTTACGGCCGCCGTGTCTAGTGCTGCCGTGCTCGGGCCGTCATGTTCAAGAGTACACGAGCAGCTCACCCAGGCCAAATCTCATTGGTGAGGATGGAGCTCGCCATCCGGAACATGTACCCCATCTATCGCCGTTGCTCCTCCATCAAGGAGAGAGAAAGAAGAGGAAGAAGAATAGCACCGGAGAAGAGGAAGAAAAATAGCATTGGGGAGAGAGAAAAGCACCGGTGTCATGGGGTCAAAACCATGGCAAGCATTGTTGTTTGAGTCGGTGTCAGAGTACGTGTCTCCAGTGGCTCGGGTGGACTCAAGAACACAAGAATCATAGAGATGATGCAACGATTTATCCTAGTTTGGACCAATCATTGCCCTACATCTAGCAGCTGATGATCCTTATACTTAAGAGCACCCAAAATCGGGGGTTACAACAGAGTGTACAGGAGGAAGAGAGAGAGTTGGTAGGGGGTTAGCTCGGTGCTAATCCTAAGGTTGCCTCACCGATGGTAGAACCTTGGGTCACTTTGGTCGGGAACCATAGATCCTTAGGCTTAATATACCCATATGTTAGGATCTCGTCAGGAGCCCCTGAGCCCTTCATGGCCTCGCTTATTCGTGATGGTGACAAGGGGCTGAATTCAATCTTTCGATGACTGAACTTAGCCTTGACAGGGATAGCTTTCGCTGACAAGGGCGTGATGCCCTGTGTGGGGCCCTTTCCCTAGTGTGATGGGGGGGTGCTCATCTATTGAGGCTGGGCAGTAGTGGCGCTAACCCTTCTTTTGATCCTATGTCGCGTAGGTCTGTGATCCGAGCGAGGGTTTGGTGGACTTGTCTAGGAGTAACCAACTTCAGGCCCTGGGGCAACCTTCTTTTTGGTCGAAGCCTGCCATGGGTCGAGTGATCAAGAGCATCTAGGCTTTAGCTTGGGGCCACATGATCACCTAGTGCGCCACGCCCTTCTGAGGGCTTCGGTAATAGGCCCTGATTGTCTTGGGCTGGCCTTCTTGGGCCAACCTTTTGCAACCATAGGTCGAGGCACGGGGACCGCGTCGAGCTCGGGCGAGGGACCCTCTTTTCACCTATCACTCAGCGGCTCCCAACCCAACTTCAGAGAGTTGGTTGGTTTTGAGGGTGCGCCACATGGGTCTCCATCGATCGGGGGGGTCGGGTCGCTCCGTCTAGGGATCCGGCGTAGCCCCTAAGGCCATCATGGGGCCTCTTTGTTAGCAGGCACAGTGGCCTCTAGGCACATCCCATTCGCTGACACTATGCGTAGGCAGTTGATGGCTCCTAGGGTGCCGCGCCTGGTAGAGGAGTTATGGTGTGCACTCTCGCGCCGTCCCACGTCATTTGGGAGATGGGACGTTAGGCCATGTGGTAAGGATCTGGTGGAGGAGGAGCCATGACACTTGGCGTGAGCGGATCCGGACCGTTGATGGTGGTCGGTGGGCCCGAGGGGAGTCAGATCCCCTCAAGTCCCGTGACAAGGCGTGTGTGGAGTGGGCGGTGCGCTTGGGTCGGCCTGCGTTACTCCTGCATGCTTGGGTTATAGAAAGGGTAGGACAGGGGGAATGGCTTTACCTTCCATTCTAGCCTCCCCATTGCCTCCTTTCTTCATGCCTCTGAGCTCGCTTGCGCCCGTTCCCGGTCATCTCACAATGGCGGAGTGGGATACCTCAAAGGCTAAAGGTGAGATGCTGGAGGTGGCCCGAGCGTGGTTGATCCTTCCTCCCACTAGGTGGGATTTGTCGGACCTAGGGGTGACAAAACCCGCACCAGGGGAATCTTAGGTCATCTCCTTCGTCCCCTTCCATCTCGCTGGCTTCGGGGTCCCCGTGCATCTGTTTGTGTAGAGGTTCCTTCGCCACTTCGGGTTGCGGCTTCATGATCTAACACCACACGGGGTGGCTGTTGGCGGTTCTTAACTCCCATTTTCAACCACCAACCATTACATAAAAACCATCCAAACAAGCACCATTAGTAAATAGGGTTTAAACTAACAAATTCCATGAATTTTGGTGAGTTATTCATTTGCAGGACACATATATGGAATACATGGAAAATGTAATGAAAATGATCAAACACACAAAGCGTATTCAATCCTGCGCAGACACAAGAAGGAAAAGGGCCTATGAAGCATATCCCACCAAATCAAACTTGGGCCAAAACCACCAAAGACGCAGCCCAGGCCCAACGTGCAACCGCCATGCGGAAGGCGGTCGTAGGGCGGCGACACTGCTGCAAAAGTGTAAGAAGTCAAATTGCTGGCCTCTCCATATTGATAGTAGTAGCCACTGCTGCAAGCTAGTCAACGACTCCCTGTTGCCACCATGAGGCAGGACTGTCTTCCTCAGCCATGTGTAGAACGTAAGCCTCAAGACGTAGTCTGTCTGGCCTATGCAAGGAGCCGCCGGTGAAGGGCTCCATGAAGAGCGGCTGAATCTCCTGGTCTATAGGAAAAGTACCTCTAGCCCTGCTACGACACGAAGGAAGAGCATCTCCGTAGACTATCTGGTGGAGCTTTCTATCTGAAGTATCGACCCCGAGGAGTTGTTGCAGACAGTTATAGGACATTCGCTCTGGCCGACCATCGAGCATAAAAGCAATGAAGTCATGCTTCAGATGAATCCACACTATTGCATAGAAC